ATTTCTCATCTGGGCCTTAGCCTGCCTTTTGTTTCCATTTTAAAAAGAAGCAAAATAAATGGTTAACTTGAACATTCCTGACAATGACAGATCAACAAGTTTTATTTCTCTCACCTGTGGAGGAAGTGGCCTCCACCCAGTTTTACTGAATTAGGAGGGAAGTGATTTTTTCAAGTGATAAAAAGAAATAAAATTCCATGCTCTTCCCAGAGGAGGAGCTCAACAATTGGGAGAGTGGCGTGAGACCATATGTTGGTTTGTAAAAGGATATAACTTGTAAAGATGTTTCCTTTGATGCCTGTGATGAATATGGATGTGTTTCCCTTCTAGAGGGTCCTGATTAAGTTATGCAATTAAGAGCTGAGCTGAGGATCTAAATATAGGGAAAGGGTTCAGGCCGTCCTGCCTGGTGTATGTCAGCCCATCCCTGCAGATGTGCCTGTTTGCTGACATAAACAGCACCTGTGAGATCAGCAGAGAAAGAGGAAGAGGTTCCAAAAGAAATGACCCCAGCAGGATTTTTTTTTTTTAAGAGAAATTTTTTCCCCCCCTCTTGTAGTATTCAGAGACTTTGTCAGTACTGCTTTAAAATACAGATCTGCCATTTAGTAGAATGTGATTTTGAGGACAGTTACTTAACTCTGAGCCTCCAGCTGGTTTTTTTTTTTTTTTTTTTTTTTTTTTTTTTAGTGACACTAAGATAATGGTATATTCCCTGCAGGGTTATTGTGAGGGATAGATAAGATGGTGTTTGCAGAAGCAGCCGGTTAGGATCCCTGCATAAGGTAGTGGCTCAGTTAAACACTTGGGCTTATTTGTTAATGAGAAATCATTCATAAGGGACCAATTAGGGAAATTTACCAGGGTTAGCATTCTTTGCCACTCCAGGAAAATCACAACTCAAAAAGAAAACTTCTCTAAGAGACTGCCATACTGCAAAATGCCTTCAGTCTTCAGTGGCCGTCAGTCTTCTGTTGTTGGAGGAGGGAGCTCTTGCAAGCCAGATGAACCTGCTCAATGTTTGAGCTGATGCGACTACGGAGGGGCTTCATAAGAGGAGCTGGGTCTTGCAAGCATTAACTGGAGAATGTGAGTTCAGCAGGATTAAGGAATTCTGTAGACCTTTTCGTGGAGATGGCAAGGAGATACAGAAAAACCAAGTGTGTTGTAGTTAGGGACAGTCAGAAAACTTTAAAATGCCATCAATCTACTTAACAAGTAATCGTGAGACGAAACAGAACCAACACCTGCTATTCTTTATGGAATGTGTATGACTAAGAAAGATTAATGACGTGCCCTCAAATCAGCCCAAGTTTCTCAGGATGGAAGAATTTTTATTTGTTGAGCAGAGCAAGAAAAAAAAAAAACTCTCTGCAAGGTTTTTCCAATACAGTGAAGACATGTTGACTGGGTGCAGCGAAGCGTGTAATCTTCAGTCCTGTCCTGAGAAACCCATGTAATTATGGTGTCCACACAGTTCGCACTTCCTCTTTATCAAGGGAATGCAACTTTTGAAATCGTTTGGTTGAAAGGTCGCACCTTGTGATCACCTTACAAGTGGTAAGCCGTAATCTAGAGTCTGTTCCTGCTTTTCCTTTCATTCCTGAGATTCCCATTACTCAACACTCTGCTGGGAGAAAGCACTTTGCACTTCTCTGTTGGTGTGTCACAGTGTCACACCTGAGAGACTAGATGCCTGGCTGCTGGTGACCGCTCTTTAACCATCTCAGGACTTTACTGTTTAAAAACAAAAAGGCACTCCAGAGCTTGAGCTTCTCAGCCATCTCTAACCCTCACAGTTTCTCCAGATTTGGAAAATCAGTGCTCAGTGTCTGGTGAGAAGATTCTTCATGAGAATAGAGTGGAATAGCTGTTGTGCATCGTTGAATCCAGCTCTAGGAGGTGAGGGGATGCAGTAAGCGAAGTGGAGCTCGGGGATGTTTGTCACAGTGGGACTTCTGCTGCTGCTGTCCACACTTGCAGGGGGTTCTGGTGTACCTGTGGCTCTTCACTCGGCCTGCTTGGATACAGGCCCGTTCTACTTTCTTTGAGCATACAGTTCAAGTAGAATTTGTTTTAGTCTTTCTAGCAGTCTTTCTACCTACATTTGAATCTGGAAAAGGAATGGTGAGTGGTTTATCCATCAGTTCTCTTTTGAGACTAGGGTTTCTTACGGCTAATGCTACATCTTGTTTAGCCATGTTTGACTTGTTTGGAATGGAGACATGTTGAGGATTAAAAGCTAACTGCTGTCTCTAGTCAGGAGAAGGAGGTGCAGGGTCAGGCCACCTATTCCTCCCACTATTGCACATGTCTCAGAACGTGCCTTAGTTTTTGTTTGGAGTGATTGCGGGAAGAGAAGCATTTGAGCTAATGATTTGTTGAAACCGAATCAGAGCACATGGATGCTTTGGGATTTTTTCCAAACCTGAAATAGCTAGATTCATCTCTGTTTTCATATTCGCTATAATGGCATTGAACCTGTGTAGCAATTTTTTAACCTTTTCCTTTCTGCCTGAGAATGAGAAGTCATCATAAAGGATCTAAATGATACTCTTTCCTGCTTGTAAATGAGCTGTTTAGCGTTGACAGCACTCTGCATCACGCTGTGTTTATTCCCACTCATGCCCAATGCCGTTGTGACTGATACTGACGCCATCTGGAAATGGGGGGTGATTGCCAGTGCTCACTCTGGCCTCTGCATTGCGCAGGTCTCTTGTAGGTTTTTGGTTGTGACTCCACTTTTAAGTGCAGTTATGTGCTGTTTAATGATAGAGATCCAGTCTGAGCAATGTGTCATTAGGTGATTTTGTCATTGTGTGAACATGGTAGAGGGTATTTATGCAAACTTGGGTGTGATAGGACTGTCACCCTCTTGATGCCATCAAGAGTCGTGCTGATCCTAACATGTATTAGGCACTTCGAAAAGTTCCAAGGAAAATGGAACCAAGGGAGTAGTATTGTGGTCTGGAAGGCAAAGCTGCACCTTGCAATGCTGGCCTCCCATCTGGGCACCAATTCATGTACCAGCTGTTCCAGTTCCTATCTAGCTGCCTGCTGATGTACCTGGGCAAGGCAGTGGAAGATGGTCCAAGTGTTTGGACCCCTGACTCTCATGTGAGAGACCCTGACAAGATTCCTGGCCTCTGGTTTCAGCCTAACTCAGCTTTGGCCTTTGCAGACAATCTGAAGTGAACTGGTGGCTGGAAACTCTCTCTTTGTCTTTCCCTTTCTGTGACCTGGATTTTCAAAATGAATAAATAGATCTTAAGAAATTAAAAAAATAAATGAAGGTCTGGTGTTGTGGGTCAATGGCTAAGTCCTCGCCTTACATGCACCAGCATCCCTTATGGGCTCCAGTGTGTGTCCTGGCTGCTCCACTTCTCATCCAGTTCCATGCTTGTGGCCTGGGAAAGCAGTAGCGGATAGCCCAAAGCTTTGGGACCATGCCCTCAGCTGGGAGACCCTGAAAAAGCTCCTGGCTCCTGGCTTTGGACCGTCTCAACTCTGGTCATTGCAACCACTTGGAAAGTGAACCAACAGATGGAAGATCTTTCTGTCTCTCCTTCTGTTTATGAATCTGCTTTTCCAATGAAAATACGTAAATCTTTTCTTAAAAAATAAATGAAACTAGAATTAAAAAATAATTTTTTATGGTGCAGAAATTTTGAAAACCATGCAATTTTTTTTTGTAAAATATATTTTTCATATGGTTTTCTTTGAAGACCCCTTGAATGCTTGGATTTCAGTTATTTTTGCACTAGAATATGTATCTTTAAATTCCATTTTTCACAAGTTTTTTTTAAAGAAACCTCATGGAAGGTTACTACCAGTATAACATAGTACATTGTTTTATAGTAAATACATCTTTTTTTTTGAAATTGAGGAGGCACACATTTTAAGTTAATGATGGAAGTGTGGCATAGTAAATAACTGTCATTTATTGTCAAGTATTATGTACTGTGTATAATTAAACATGCTGTACATTTACGTGGATCTCAGTGTAGGAGACTGGTTTATACCAGCGTCACCGCACACACGTGAGCAGTGCATTGTGTTAGGACAGCTGCAATGTCACGAGGCAGCACTGCTTTTTTCAGCCCCATTGTAGTCTGCTGGGACCCCTGTCATCTATGTGATCCATCATTCACTGAAACGTCATTACAAAGCAAATGACCATAGTGGGAATTTTATTTGTTTAGTTTTATCAAAAATTGCCAGCAGAGCCAGCAGTTTAAGATGTCAGTTAAGCTGCTCGGTTCCCATGTCAAGAGTGTCTGGCTTCAAAACCTGGCTCTGCTTCGGATGCCATTTTCCTGCTAATACAGGTCCTGGGAGGCAGGGGTGGCAGTTCAAGGGATTAGGTCTCTGTCACCCAGGTGGGAGACTTGAATTGAGTTCCGGCTTCTGGCCGCTGCCCAGCCTAGGACTGATGGTTGCAGCCGTCTGCAGAAAGTGAAGAGGGGGGATCTCTTCTTTCATTGTCTTCCCCCACCTTGGCCACTCAAATAAATACAAATTTCATATGTTGCAAGTTCCCAGTTCTTGATTTCTGGTTAATTCAATGGTCTAGTTAATTGCTCATTAGGAATCTCAGCCATAATGATGGGTTACTCTTGATGTTTCAAAGCATTTACTGGCATTAAATCTGTGAACTATTTTGGGTTTTTAGTGTTTTAACCATAATCTGTAGTGTCTTCTCTTCTGTGAGCCTAGGTACATCAGATATTTTTAGGGTTTCTTTGCTGTAGTTGGGAGCCATCTGTTCTGACAACTCTGCCTCGGTTGATTCTCACTCCTGTGTGAAAATCAAACAGGTTAACCAGTGGTGGGTTTTGAAGTCATGAGCATTACCATTTTGAGTTCCCTGGCATTTTTGCGTTTGACCCTTGTGTATTTTATTTTAGCTAAGCATCTCAGAGGAGGCAAGAGTGCGTTCTTCCAGGTCCTGAACTTGATCTGATATGAGGTGGGGAGACACAAGCCAGCACCAAGTGTAGGACTAGTGGCTGCTAGCGCCGGTCCTTCTCTGCAGTACATCTGTTGGGGCTTTCTGTTTTTCTAGTGAAGTTTGTGGTCAGATGATTTTATAGGATTAAAAATACTGAGCTGTAAAATCTTACCGTATGCCAAGGATCAGCTTGAAGCTTCACGGTGAATCTGTTTTGGGAACTCAGGTCTTTGTTTTTCTGTGTATTTCAAGAGCGTTCCATTTATTTAAGAAGAAACTAGTGAAATAAATCCAGAACTATGTACACATATTTGTACATGCATTGTACGCGCACATATTATTTGGAGACACCCCTTCTACAAAGAAAAAAATGGGTCAAACAAATGTTGTACAAACTTGTTCTTTTCTTCTTGAATAGCTCATCCAGATTCTAAACCATTTCAAAGTGGAGTTAATCAATATCCAGTGCTTTTAATTCCTTAATTCCTTTGATCTTCATACCATGGTTTTTAATCATTAATTTTAAAAAAAGATTTATTTATTTTTATTGGAAAGTCAGATATACAGAGAGTAGAGGCAGAGAGGAAGATCTTTCTCGCATTGATTCACTCCCCAGGCGGCTGCAATGGTCAGAGCTGGGCCAATCCAAAGCCAGGAGCTTCTTCCAGGTTTCCCGCGTGGGTGCAGGGTACCAAAGTCTTTGGACCATCCTCAACTGCCTGCCCATGCCACAGGCAGGGAGCTGGATGGGAAGTAGGGCCGCTGGGATTAGAATTGGCAACAATATGGGATCCCGGTGTGCGCAATGCGAGGACTTCAGCCGCTAGGCTATGGTGCTGGGTCCTTTAATCATTAATTAAGATAGAATCAAGAGCCAAGGAACAAAAAGTGTGTGTGTGGGGGAAATTGTCTCATTGACAATGGACCATTTATTTTCTGCCAGTTACTGGTTTTTAGGTAATGTGAGTCTTTGATTTTCTTTTACCCCAGTCTCTTTTTGGAATCTATTATTCTTTGTTTATGTTATGTAATAGTTTAATTATTCCATCTCTGTTTGATGGGATTATTTGTTGGGTTGAGTTCACCGGATTTCATGCTAGTGTGAGAACTGCACAACAGTCTCTGGTCTGAAGGTGGTATTTGGGGTTGGGGTTGTGTTTGTCTCTTTGAAGACCTTGGCTTCTATCATCTGGCAGCTGTCTCGGCCCCACTCAGCGCCTTTTCAGATGCATGTTAGAGGTCTTTTCTCCTGCAGCTTTCTGTGAGCTTCCAGGGTCTCAGGGATTGAACAGCAGGGAGGGAATTTTGTTGATGCTTACCCACCTAGATAAACTGGATGAGCCAAGATAAAGAAACTACCTGTTATTGTGTGTTTGGCTAGTTTGATTTTCTTCATATCTACAAATTACACAGGACTTAAGAATGTTCTAAACATTTTTTCCCCATCTTTTAGTATTAAGAAATACACATAAGTTGTAGAATGCTGTAGTCGTGTCAGGAGGAGTTAGAGGCTGTTTCCTTATATGGCTTCGGGCTGTACTGATGGAAGTTTTTCAGTGAATAAGGAGAAAATCTAAATTCAAAACACTATTTTTAAGCTACTTTTTAAAATTATTATTATTTCCCAAACCAGATGTCATTATAAATCCAGTCTGACTTCTAAGTAGGCTGTATATGCAGCTTGAGTTCATTAATTGAATTCTGTTTGGGGGGTCGTAATTAGAAAATATTTGTCTAAAAAGACTTTTGAAAAATTTCAAAGCCGTAGTTTTTCATTAAAAAATATTTGAGACATTTGGAAATTTAGAAGAGAGATTATTGATCTTCCAAAAACATTCATTGATAGTATTTTGAGGTATTTGCATAGTTGTTCATGCTGTGTATACCATTTTATGTTCTACTTAAGGCTTTTCAAGTTATTATATAGTTTTCATTATTTCAATATATTGTCTAGCATTTATGAACATGAATTTAAAAAATCACATAATATTCCATTGAGTGAACATAGTTTAATTTTTAAATTTTCTTATTATACATAATGATCTGATAAAAATCTTGTGAAATTTTTTTCTTTATCACTATGAGAATATTTGCTTGGAGTAATTTCTAATGGTGAAGTTTTTAGGACAAATATTTTAAAATGTATTTTAAGACTGTTGGGAGGTTTTTCTGCATTTCTATTTCATTTTGTTTTTTACTTTTTAAACTAGATGCATGCTTTTTCTTTCTCATTAGTGTGAACTGTTTGTATTTAGGCCAGAGGGAAGGAAATCTCTGCTTGCTGACTCATGTTTTTATTTTGCACTTTTAACTGATAAGGCCATTTAGCTTTTGACATAAACTACGACAGGAAGTACAAAAAGGGGCAGAAAAAAGTTATCCTGCCAAGGCCGTAGTAGTATGGACTCCCTTGGGTTTCTTATGTGAGGTGGGTTACTTGTTTGACTTTTAAAAGCTGCTTGATTCAAATGGGGCAAAAATGAGTCACCAGCTTGCATTTGTTTTGTCTTTGTGCCTATGTAAAGAAAAGTCTGTAATTTTTTTTTACTTCAGCTTTTATGAGTGGCATCCATCCAGCTGGCCCCTGTAGTTTCAGGAGGTGGTAGGGTTTTTTATTATTATTATTATTATTATTATTTTGTTCCCAGTATGGAGGGAGAGGTGTCCTGTGCAGAGTGCACTGCCTTAGCTGTCTTTCTTATTTTTTTGTTAAGATTTATTTATTTTTATTGCAAAGTCAGATATACAGAGAGGAGGAGAGACAGAGAGGAAGATCTTCCGTCCGATGATTCACTCCCAAAGTGACCACCTTGGCTAGTGCTGTGATGATCTGAAGCCAGGAGCCAGGAACTTCTTCCATGTCTTCCACACGGGTGCAGGGTCCCAAGGCTTTGGGTCGTCCTGGACTGCTTTCCCAGGCCACAAGCAGGGAGCTGGATGGGAAGTGGAGCTGCTGGGATTAGAACCGGTGACCATATGGGATCCCGGCATGTTCAAGGCGAGGACTTCAGCTGCTAGGTTGCCATGCCAGGCCCCTTTAGCTGCCTTTCTAAAAACCAAGCTCTAATCCCAGTGATACCATGACTTAAAACCTCCCACTGGCCCACAGGATAAGCTGCATCATAGACTTTCACTGTCTTTCCTCTGCCTTCATACCAGTCTTGTGTCACTGCCAGCCTGATTTAAACCCTGCATCTCCATCAAATGTCTGTTAAGAACCTGCAATCTAGAAAAATGAAATGGTTTATGAAATCAGGCCCTAGAATCCAGCAGGATGGGTTCAAATCCTGGTCCTGTCACCCCCTAGCTGTGTACGTGACTGGCCAGGATAGTTCGCTTCTGTGTACCTTAACTTGGCTTGCCTGTAAAATGAGGGAAATGGTGGTGCTGACTTCAGAGTTTGTTGATAGTTGACAGTTGTAAAGTGCCTAAAGCACGGTCTGGCATGTAGGAGCACTCCATTGTTTTGCACAATTCTACTCATCCTTGAAGGCTGCCTGATATTTCCTCTTGGAAAAAACTTCCCGAAGTCCCTGAAATTAATTGTTCTGTTCTTTTATACACTTTATTATTATCTTCATCAGTTTGGGCTGTTGTCACAAAACATCACTGACAGGTGGGTTATAAACAACAGGGATTTATTTTTCACAGTCCTCGTGCCTGGAAAGTCCAGGTTCAGGGTTCTGGCAGGTCAGGTGTCTGGTGAAGGGTCACTGGCACCCCTCACTGCACTCTGCTGAGTTGGAAAGGACCAGGCATTTCTCAATGGTTTCTTCTTTGGCACTAATCCTGTTCATAAGGGCTCCACCCCATCACCTCCTCCAACACCATCACTTTGGGAGTCCAGCACATGAATTTTGTGCTGATGTCAGCATTCAGGACATGGCCTTGTTACACTTGCTTTGTAGTATTTATCACACTGCGTTCTAGTTAGCTGATATTGGGCAGATGCACAGGCTTTCTGTTCCAGTGCCCACGGGCCAGCCCTGGTGCAAGCACACCATTCCTGCCAGCTAAGACCCCTGGAAAGCATCTCAGCTCAGTCCCCCAGGGTCAGCATGAACGTTAGCTCTTTGTTCCCTGGGGTTGATCACTTCCATACCAGCCCCACAACTCTGAGTTCCTTCATGATGTGCTCTGCGTCCAGCACAGTGCCAGCGACTAGCCGGCACCCAGTTAACTGTGTTGGAGTCAGGTCAGTTGAAATAGGTGAAGTTCTAAAATGGTATTTCTTTCTTTTTTTTTTTTAAGATTTATTTCTTTATTACAAAGTCAGATATACAGAGAGGAGGAGAGACAGAGAGGAAGATCTCCCGTCCGATGATTCACTCCCCAAGTGAGTGCAACGGCCGATACTATGCTGATCCGAAGCCAGGATTCAGGAACTTCTTTCAGGTATCCCACATGGGTGCAGGGTCCCAAAGCTTTGGGCCGTCCTCGACTGCTTTCCCAGGCCACAAGCAGGGAGCTGGATGGGAAGTGGAGCTGCCGGGATTAGAACCAGCACCCATATGGGATCCTGGCACGTTCAAGGCAAGGACTTTAGCCGCTAGGCCATGCCGCCGGGCCCTAAAATGGTATTTGTTACACACTGTCTCATCTCCATGGGGTAGCAACTCCCCATCGGGATTTGGGATGACTTAGATGTGATGTCTTATTCTCCACTTGAAAACTATTCTAGGAGTAGAAGAAAAGGATATATAGGATAAGAATAAATAAAATCCCTCTACAAATTATATTTAGAGGACTGTGAAGAAGCTCTTTTCTCCTTTTGTGTGTGTGTATATCTATGAAAAAAACTAACCTTCATTAAAAAAAAATTGTCTTCTTGTAGGTGCATGTAGACCAAGTGTGACTTTTGCTAATATGCTTTTAAAAATATCTAACTTTTGGAGAAAAAATTTTTAAGATTTATTTATTTTTGTTGGGAAGGCAGATCAGATTTACAAAGAGAAGGAAAGACAGAGAGAAAGATATTCTGTTTGTTGGCTCACTCCCCAACGGCCAGAGCTGAGCTGTTCTGAAACTAGGAGCCAGGAGTTTCCTTCAGGTACTCCACGTAAGTGCAGGGTCCCAAGGCTTTGGGCCATCCTCTACCACGTTCCCAGGCTACAATCAAGTAGCTGGATGGGAAGTGGAGCAGTCGGAACACTGACACCCACATGGGATGCCAGTGCATGCAAGGCAAGGATTTAGCCATTGAGCCATCGTGCTGGGCCCTGAATGAAATTCTTTATTCAAAACAACAACAATTACAAGCACTGTCACAACTCTTATTATGTCCTGTTGGAGAAAGTTCAGGTCTACACATGACCCTCTGAGTTCTTCCGGGGAAATCAGTCATCAAACAGAATTTACTGCATGTCCACGCACCATACTAGACTCCAAAGATAGGCCAATAAAAGGATAGAATTCCTCAGTCATATGCGGTGGTCATTCCTGTGGCGAGAACGCAGATGTGTAGGTACTTTTTTTCTTTTATGTGAGGAATATGTATAGATTTGTTTCAGCTCCTTCCCTTTCTAATAAAAATGTCTAATCTCTTGGAAGGTAGAATAGACCATTCATCTGCTGGTTCACTTCCCACGGGCTACAATGGCCAGGGCTGGACCATGGGCGAGGTTGAGACCAGGAGCCTGGCACTACACCCTCATCTCCCATGTGAGTGCAGGGACCCCAAGTGGCTGCAACAGCTGGAGCTGAGCCAATCCGAAGCCAGGAGCCAGGAACCTCTTCCACGTCTCCCACATGGGTGTAGGGTCCCTAGGCTTTGGGCCGTCCTCGACTGTTTCCCAGGCCACAAGCAGGGAGCTGCATGGGAAGTGGGACTGCCGGGATTAGAACTGGTGCCCAAATGGGATTGTGGCATGTTCAAGGTAAGGACTTTAACCACTACGCTATTGTGCCAGGCCCTGAAGAAAGACTGCATCTTATGCTGTGCCACAAAACCATCTCCTGTGTTTAGGACTATAGATTTCCCTCTCTAACTGTGGGCTGGGACCATCTGTCATGATTTTTGGTTTAGAATGTGCTTGTAACAATTTAGTTAATGATTTGTTTTGACTGTAATTACTTTGATACATAGGTTATTATTTTTTAAGATTTATTTTTATTATTTTTTCATTGGAAAGGCAGATATACAGAGAGGAGAGACAGAGAGGAAGATCTTCCGTCCGATGATTCACTCCCCAAGTGAGTGCAACGGCCGATACTATGCCGATCCGAAGCCAGGAGCCTCTTCCGGGTCTCCCACGCGGGTGCAGGGTCCCAAAGCCTTGGGCCGTCCTCTGCTGCTTTCCCGGGCCACAGGCAGGGAGCTGGAAGGGAAGCGGGGCTGCCAGGATAGAACCGGCGCCCATATGGGATCCCGGGCGTGCAAGGCAAGGACCTTAACCATTGCGCCACCGTGCCGGGCCCCATAGGTTATTTGAAGTGTTCTTTTCAATAGTAATATTTTCTTTTTTTTTTTGAGTCATGATAAGATCATAGGATTGTATTCTCTGTGATTTTACTTCTTGGATACGTGTTGAAATTTGGTTAATGGTTTATGATGTGGCCAGTTTGGGTAAATAGTACATTTCCATTTGAGCTATTATGTGTTTTGCAGTTGTTTGGTGTGGTGCTATGCACATGAATTGAGTCAAGTTTTTAAACATGTTACTCATCTCTTTTCTTTTTTTCTGTTTGTTTTCTTACTATATTAATCTCCTAACATTGTGTGGATTTGTCTGTCATTTTACTCTGTCAATTCTCATTTTAGTTAATTTGAGACTACAATTAGTTAAAAAGTGGGGGATTGTGATGTTTAGGTGTTGGCTCAGCACTTTTTATCTGTTGCTAGTTTCCAAATACTGCTTTGTCAGTCTCTCTTCCTCACCTAGGAGTCCTCTTACGTGATGTTGGACATTTTTACCCTGTGCGTGTGCCTCTTCAGTTCTTTTATTTTCCACCTTTTCCCTCTGTTAATTTCAGCATGAGCATTTCATCCTGATCTTTCAGTTAGTAATCTTTTCTTACACTCCAACTAGTCTCTTTTTCAGCTCAAGTTTTAATCTCATTACTTTTTTGGGTTCCTGTTCTCCATTAAAATCCTTAATTTTCTGTTTCCTGAATACATTAATCGGTGATTGTTAATATTTTGATCTGAAAATGGTAACTGCAGTATCTGGATGAACCCTTAGGTCTGCTTCTGTCCTGTTTGTTTTGCTTCTTTGGTTGTGTCTTCTGATGTGCGTGATAGCCTCTGGCTCACTGCTCGGGTTATGAATAGACAGCAGTGGCGGCTTGGGCTGCTGCTGTCCTCCACTGAGGAAGCTGTGCTCGCCTTGATCCGTGGAAGGACTGAGCTGACCCAGGGCCTCATTTCATCTTAGGGCATACCCGGCAGGCATAGCAGCCAAAAGGGCCAGTGTGTTTGCCTGACCTCCCCTTTCTCTGCAGGCTCTCAGCTCTGCTTGTTTGTTCGTTTTTGTTTTGTTTTTGTTTTTGTTTGTTTCCTCAGGACCATGAGACTATTGAAAGATGTTCTTAGTTTTTTCAGCCTTTTGCTGCTTATCACATAGGTGTTGGCAAATACCTGAGATAAACACAGTGAAGAATGTTCCTCTCACTTCCCAGCTCTCTGTCCCTCCAGGATCGTGGCCCCGCCAAGTCTTGAGTAACTTGGTTATTTGCTCTTTGATGTCTTTAGGAAGCTGGACTTTGTGAAGAGGTTGATCTGACACCTGTTACCCCATCAGCCACAGTGTGTACAAAGCCGGCCTTTTTACCTTTTATCACCTTTTGTCTTTTCCTCTGGCGGAGTAGATGGGAAGTTTCAGTGAGACAACTTGACCGTAGAATTGGTACAGTGTGTATTCTTGTGTTTCACTTCTTTCTTGTCAATCAAAAGCAAAATTCTTTTTATGTTTATTTGAAAGAGAAAGAGAGAAGGAGAGAGGGAAGCAGGGATAGATATCTTTCACTCCTTGGTTTACTCCCCAAATATCTACAACAGCTGGGCCTGGCTGGGCCTGGCCGGGCCAACGCGGGGAGACTCCAGGTCTTTGCAGGTTCCCCACATGGGAGGCTGACTCTCAGGTAGTTGAGCGAACATTTGCTGCTTCCCACGGTGCGCATTAGCAGGGAGGAGGGTGAGAAGTGGAGTAAGCTGACATTTGAATTACACATTCTGGAGTGGGATTTAAGTGTCTCGAGTGACTGCTTAACTTCTTACACAGCAGCACCTGTTTTTAAAAAACATTTTTAAAAAGTCAGGAAATTGTGCTGCTTTACTTGTTCTGTTACCCAAGGACATAGACTTTAGTGAATAAATGTTCTAAACATGTTGTATTTACATAATAGAAATATGTTTGCTTTTTCACTTAGCCTGTGCAGTATTTGAGTAGCACCATGAAACAGATGTGAAGGAACTGACATTGGGCATAGTGGATAAAGCCACCACTTGGAATGCCAGCATTCCATTCGAGTGCTGGTTCCTGTCCCAGCTGCTCTACTTCTAATCTTGCTCCCTTCTCGTCACCTGTTAAAAGCAAAGGAACATGGCCCAAGTGCTTAGGACCCTGCTATACACTTGGAAGTTCTGGAAGAAATTCCTGACTCCCAAATTGGGCCTGGTTCAGCCCGGACAATTGCAGCCATCTGGTCAACCAACTATTAGATCTGCATCTTGTCTCGTTCTTTCTCTCTCTTCCTCTCCTTCTCTTGCTCTCTCTGTGACTCTTACAAATCTTTGTTAGCTGTTAGGACTGATGCTATTAACTGTTGCTTTCAGTAGTAGAGGTATGTTTTACCTTTATCTTTAGAGATCATGCATGAATCTGAGTAATACTGGTGTGTCTGTTGAGAACTTGGACTTCTTTGCCCTAAGATGTCCATTGGCATCTCTTGCAGAAGGAGTGTGTTTAAACTGTGTCTCAGTTTAGTCATCTGGGAAATGGCAATGATTGGTTTTAGGTAGATGATAAAAGACTGTGAGAAGGAATAACTGCTGTGTATTAGTCTGCTGTGACTCGTAATTAGTGTGTGGTGGTCATAATGAAATACCATAGAGCAGGCAAATCAGCACACTTATTTCGCACAGTTCCATAGCCTGGAAAATCCAAGATCAAGGTTCTGGACAATCGGGCTGCTGATGCAGGCTGTTCCTGATTGCCTTCCTGTTATGTCTTCATGGCCTTTCCTCAGTTGATGTGCATGGGTGCAGTGAGGTGGGGTGAGGGGTAGATCATGCTTTCTCCTTTAGGACCACCCGTCCCATAGGGTTCTGCCATCCCATAAATCCCCACCGACCCTTAGGGTCCCACTGTCCCATAGGGCCCCACTGTCTCATTGGGCCCCACCGTCCTATAGGGCCCCACTGTCCCATTGGGCCCCACTGTCCCATTGGGCCCCACCGTCCTATAGGGCCCCACTGTCCTATAGGGCCCCACTGTCCCATTGGGCCCCACAGTCCCATTGGGCCCCACTGTCGCATTGGGCCCCACCGTCCTATAGGGCCCCACTGTCCCATTGGGCCCCACTGTCTTGACCTCAGTTAAACTTAGATATTGCCTTAGGCTCCATCTCCAAACACAACTACATTTGGGGTTGGGGTTTCAGCCTATGCATGGGGTGTCCTGGGGGGTCTGTGCAGTCCCTAGCATGCTATGGTATAGATGCCCCTGAACAAGGGGTTGTATTTCAAAAAAACCTATGGTAGTCAGAACTATGGGTAGAAAGCATTGTAATTCATGGACTGTGTGTCAGAGTAGTCAGGGTGCTTAAGGTGGGAGACCCCCTCAGCGTGTCTAATCAATTGTGGTAGAGGTGATGTTATAGATATTTTTCTGTTTCTTGCCCTTTAGGTGCTGCTTTGCCTTGGTTTTTGCCTGGGAATGGTAATTGCTGCTTTTCAGGCCTTGCCGCTCAGAAACTGAAGAAAAGCCTATGTCAATAGGCTGACCCCACTGCTGCCAGCCCCCAGTGTCCACGGACTGCTTTCCTCCCCCTCCCCCGAGCCGCTACGGTCACCATGAATGTGACAAGTTTGTTCTCCTTCACGAGCCCAGCTGTGAAGAGACTTCTAGGGTGGAAACAGGGCGATGAGGAGGAGAAATGGGCTGAGAAAGCTGTTGATGCTTTGGTGAAAAAACTGAAGAAAAAGAAAGGTGCCATGGAGGAGCTGGAGAAGGCCTTAAGCTGCCCGGGGCAGCCGAGTAACTGTGTCACCATTCCCCGTTCTCTGGATGGCAGACTGCAGGTCTCCCACCGGAAGGGACTGCCCCATGTCATCTACTGCCGCGTGTGGCGCTGGCCCGACCTGCAGAGCCACCATGAACTGAAACCACTGGAATGCTGCGAGTTTCCTTTTGGTTCCAAGCAAAAGGAGGTCTGCATCAACCCCTACCACTACAAGCGAGTGGAGAGCCCCGGTAAGTGTGGCCTTTTGTGTGCTATGTGACCCTGCCGCTCATCTGTGCGTGGTTAAGAACACCAAGGTAACACCTCCTTTGGTTTTTCCATTGTAGTTTTCAAGTATTTGTACAGTGTGTGTGTGTGTGTGTGAGAAAAAGAGGGAGAGAGAGGGAGAGAGGGAGAGAATGAGAGAAGGTTTTCTACTTTTTAATAGCTTTAGCTATATTTTCTCAGGAACAGACCATGAAACTTGTGATTACAGTACTGATACTCTAATTTTTAAAATAGATTGTTTTGCTTCTGCTTTTATTTATATTTCATATTGTCTGCATTTCTGTAGGCAGATTTAGCTATGAAATGTGTTAAGAGAATTAAGAAGGAAGCCCAGGGTTGTTTCCCTCTGGGTATGGGAGGGAGGTACATCTGGGGGCAGTCGCCAGTGGCTGTGTCACTTGGTACTCAAGTACTATTTTAGGGGTGGGTGTGGTGGCACAGAAGGTTCAGCCCGAATCCCGTATGGGAGTGCTGCTTCAAGTTGTGGCACCTCTGCTTTTGGTCCAGCTTCCTACTAATGCATCCGGGGAGGCAGTAAGTGATGCGTCATGGCCTTGGGCCCCTGTCGCCCATATGTGAGATCTGGGTGGAGTTTCAGCATCCTGGCTTTGGTCTGGGCCCACCCTGGCTACCACAGGCATTTTGGGGAGTGTGGATGGGAGATCTCTGTTCCTCTTCCTTTGTTCTCCCTTTCAAGTAGACACAAATAAATAGATTTTAAAGGGAAGTGTACTTTTTAATCATCTGTGGTGGGATTTTGCTGTGGCATCGTCTGTATTCCCTGTGGAAGCTAGGAAGAGATTCTGTTCTGTTGTGGAGTCATTTGATATTTGTGCTCTATAAGACAGCCCCAGTTTTTGCCTGTTTGACCTTTTTGCAGGGACAAGGTGTACAGTTGGTCTTCTGCAGCCATAGGGGCTGCATCCATGCATTCAGCCAGCTTGTTGAGCATGTATTGATTTTTCCCTGTTACTCCCTTAGCAGTGCAGTGTAACAACTATTTACATAGCATTTACGTTGTGTTTGGTATTCTGAGTAACTATAGGGTGATGCAAAGTAGGAGGATGCATTTAGCTTATTTGCGGAAACTGTGCCACTTTCTAGAAAGGACTTGGGCATGTGCAGATGCAGTATCGTTAGGGGCTCCTGGAGCTCATCTTCTAAACACCAGTGCCTGTTTTGAAATTTGTATGCATTTGCCCTCTGCATTCTAGACAGTTGGAGCAATTGAAAAGTGATTAGGTATTCAGTCATTTAATATCTTACTGTCAGATTGGGGCCCGTTTTGGATTACAAAGAATCTCCAATGTGACTGTGTGTAAAATCACATGGCTTCGTAATGCAAAAACCCTGATCTGGGGACATCCTCCCATGTCTTTAACAAGTACTCAGGTGTTGCTGATAGAGGTATTAGGATGACCTAGCTCATGTGATATTGCTGTGAGAGATAGCAAAAATAAATTTAAAGATTAAGGAATAATGTAATTAGCATCTTTTTCTCTCACTCAGTTGAGGACATAGAAGCTGATGGCTAAACAGAGCTACCTGTTACTGCCCCTCTGAACCTATTTTCCTTCAGTAACTAAGCTTTTGAATTTGATGTTTGTCTTTTTCATGCAGTGTTTTTATGCTATTTGTGTGAGTTTATTATAATATGTTATTTTGTTTATTTGAAAATATTACAAGTTTTCCTTGTAGAACTTGCTATATTCATTTGACATTATGAGGCTTCAATTTTTTTCTCACTTTTTAATTTTTTTGTGATTTCTGTGAAAAACCCTCTGGGAATTTGTTGGAATTTCATTGATTCCATTTGCAGAAGATTAACCTTTTACCCCCTTGAGCATAACATTGTTTAGTAACCTTTAAATTTCCTCATACAGCTTTTGCACATCTTTTTAAGATTTGCTTCTAGATAACTGGTTTTCAGCATGTCATTTGAAATGACCTTTTACATTTTGTTAGTGTTACTTTTGGGTAAAAGTAAAATTAATTTTTTTTCCTCCAATAACAGTACTAATTTCTTCTCATTCCTTCCAACATAAACATTCTTTATTGCTAATTATGCCGGCTGTGATGTTAATTCTCTTTGAAAAGAAAATGCACATAAAATGTGTAATCCTCTTTTAGCCAGAAGTGGAAATGGAAAGAAGCATTTAGGAGAATGATACATAGTGTGGAAATCACTTGCATGTTTATGGAGACATTATTCAGAAGATCCAAGGTAGAGAACCAACCTAGGTGTTCACTGATGGATGAACGGATAGAACTACAAATTCTTAAAAATCATTCTCATAGACCTACTGAATCTCCCTGGGGTGAAGGCCAGCAATTTAAGAGTCTGTTGCATATCAAAGTTAGAAAGCAAGTCCTGTAGTCTAGGTGCAGTTGCCCTATAGTGAAGAGAGAAGCTGATGACCCAGTTTCTTCAGTTAGTTAGCATTTTGAGTTGTGCATGTCCAGATGCAGACATGAAATTGACTTGCTCATTCCAGAATTTTCTTTCTGATGCCTTGAAGATGAGCACTCCAATAAACTGTGATTAAGATGTCCGTAAGCGGATGGGGAAGCAGGAGAAAGGCCTAATATTAGCTTTGCAATTGTTTTTTGGCTTATATTTGACTGTGTGATCAAAAATAAGCCTATGGATTTAAGTAATTGTAGTTTTCCTATAACATTTTTAAGATTTGTTTTACTTTTATTGGAAAGGCAAATCTACAGAGAGGAGAGACAGAAAAAGACGTTCCTTCCACTAGTTCACTCTCCAAGTGGCCACAATGGCTAGAGCTGAGATGATCTGAAGCCAGGAGCCAAGAGTTTCTTCCAGGTATCCCATGCAGATGCAGGGTCCAAGACTTTGGGTCATCCTCTTCTGCTTTCCCAGGCCATAGGCAGGTAGTTGTATAAGAAGTGGAACAGATGGAACACAAACCGGTGCCCATTTGGGATCCTGGTGCATGCAAGGCGAGGATTTAGCCACTAGGCAGTTGTGCTGGGCCCTACTCTATAACTTTAAATAGAATAATGTAAAAAGTGAGGGGAAATGGAAACTTACAGAAACATGTTACTGCAGCTGGAACAAGTGGGCCGCTGACTGGGGCTCTCACTGCTCTCCAGGATCAAGGCTGCATCTTGCTGTGGTTCAGTTCAATTCAATTCAGTTAACCCAGGAAGTGCTCTGATACTGACTCCCAACAGCTGGTCTTTAACTGTGTTCTGGAGGCTATTCTGTAACTGCCTGCTGACACCAAAGCCCCACCAAAACCCTTTCATGGAGATTCCCTATCATTGGCCCTTTTTTGTTTGTTTGTTTTTCGCAAAGTGTTTGAAAATTAGCTGTACCCTGATCCTAATCCATTTGAAAACTTGTGTTAAACTGAGCTTGAAAATCTGGGGTTTCACTTTTGGTCTTTAAACACACTGGCATTAGCTTCCAGGTGCTTTCATTTTCAGCATAATGACCCCAGCTGTTCAAAGCTTACCGCACCTAAAATCCTCTTCACCTGCCCACTGGAGACGGATTGTGACTCCATGTAATCCATGGCTTGGCAAACTTTACCTTCAAGAAAAGAATTTGCAGAAATGGAGAGCAGTTGTCACCAGGGTTGAAGGGAAGGATGCGGTTGGGGTGTGTGGGAATGGTGCATAAGTCATGAAAGGGCAAAGTTAGGGATCCGTGGGCTGATGGAAACTTTTTTTCTGGATTTTGACTGTGTCTCAGTATTCTGATTATGATATAAAGACAAGTTATATTCCTCTATTGCTACAACTACAAGTGAATCTGTAATTATCTCAAGTTTAAAAATGGCGTGTCATCACAATGTAGCTAATTCAGTTCATGGCTCAATCGGATTCTTGATTATGCTGAAAACAACCATTGTGCTTTGGCATGGAGGAAAGGCACCTTGGGTTATACTTTTCAGTTTTGTCAGGTAGTTTTAAAAGCCTGAGCAGTAATTGAGATTTAATATTAAGTATTAATTTAATAATAAAATTAGAAATTTACAACAGCTTTACTATATTGTGAGATCCCAAGTTTGAGCCTAATTAAAATTTGATTTTAAATCTTGCATGGCAGGGATCAAAGTACTGACTTTTCCTTTGGGTTTTTCTGGGTAATGATATCTAAGAGTCTGATAATTGATGTTGTATGCCACACACTGAGATACCGTTACAGGTGTTTTGAATAGTTTGAAATTAATTAGCAACAATATTAGCTATGAAAACTAAAGTAAAGCAATGCACCATATGGTCGTGTACATCTAAATTTCTCTACAGGGATTTATAGACTCTCGGGAATTGTGCCCAAGACAGCCTGGCATGTCATTTCAGTACTGTGATTAATACAGCTGTGAACAGGATGCCGTTGGCCCGTCAACCTGGGCAGAACCTTGGGAAATCACGGTCACTCAATTCCATCCCAGGTGACTGTGCAATTTGCCATTTAGGTGTTAGTATATTTTACATATCAGGGATTTAAATGCACTGACAGCTAGAGATGCAATAATGTAGAAAAATACTAAGAAAGTAGTAGACCAAGGAAATCAGCACATATGTGTTCTGTAGGCGTTACTGTGCCACAGATACGCAGCTGTGTGCAGTGCCAGGTCCCCAGTATCAACTCCAGATTGAACATGCATTTGAAAATTTGCAACTGTACTGAATATAATTTTTTCTTATTGCCTAAAAGAAAAGTAGCATTACTGTTTCTCATAATGTTCATGTTGTATTGGGTGTTAGAAATAACGTAGAGATGACTTGCAATGTGCAGGAGAATACATGTAGTTTGTATGTATCCTCAGGTTTTGGTATTCTGAGTGTGTGTGAGGAGGAGGGATTCTGGAATTAGTCTCTTGTGAGTACTGCAGGGTGAATGAAGAGCTAGTGTATGCTTACAATCCTAGCCAGGGTGCTTCTCTGATTGCCGTGCTGTAGCTGTCGCACGAAGGGAGGAAGCTTTGTG